CTCTCTCTCTCTCTCTCTCTCTCTCTCTCTCTCTCTCTCTCTCTCTCTCTCTCTCTCTCTCTCTCTCTCTCTCTCTCTCTCTCTGCGTGTCTCTGCATATCCTGTCTGTTTCTGGCTACCAGTCTGTGTGCATGTCTCTCTTTCTCTGTCACAGACACACACATGCTTACTGCCATTATTGTCAGGGGTGTGGATCGACAGTCTCCTATTATTGCAGGGTTGGTATGAGTAAAGTTAACCATCGTTCTCAGGGGCATCGCTAACTCTGAGCAACGTGTTGAGAACTTGAGACATTAACCATCATTAGTCAAATGCATCCTGGGCAAACTGTCGGGGTTCAACCTCCTGATGAGTCGGTGAAAGTCCGACGAAACAGTCTGGCACAGTCGTGCTTTCTTTGTGGAGTTCTGCATAGCGAAGATGACAACACACATACAGACACACGAGCTGGACCAGCGCAGCTCCGCTTGCCGCTGTGCAGTTTCCCCCATTTTGTTGCACTTGTTCGTCATGGCCTGGACAGTAATGGAATGTCTTCATGATCTGCTCTTCGTGTACCCTGTGCGGTTACAGCTCCGTAGATCAGGTAAATATCCACTTTTCTTCACTGTCCTTTCCTGTTCTGTATTTTCATGCCCGTCCTGTTGCAAGAGCCCGTCCATTATGAGAAGCTTCACATTGAGTATGCAAGTATTCCCGAGGTGCTCAAATGGAAGAGCTTGCTCGTCGCAGAATTAGCAGCTACTGTCTTCACTCGAATAGAACACGCGGTCATTGTCGCAATATGAAGACTGAAAGTTGCATCCCACACAGTGATATTGACCGGGTGTTGTATTTGGGTAAAGACTGTAGTCACCAGAAATTAGACAAAGGTAGAAGAGCGGTTGGTCGAGAGGGAGGAAAGTTTCATTACTTAGCAAGAAATACAATTGAAAATCGGCTCTTCCACCTTCTTCTCCTCTGGGACCTTCCTCCACCAACTACCCACCTCAGCCATGCAAGTCTCTCTCCAAAGTTACTGATGAAGTCTATGTGCAGGCATGAGCTATGGTGCTGAACCTCCAGCATCAATGCTGACTATGGAGGTTGATGCCGGCTGTCTTCAACCTCCTGATGTAACCAGCAGAAGCTCCATTGTCACCTGCGCCCGGGTTAGTCAAGGTACACTTCCCACTTTCTCATTCTTTCTCTACTAACAAGTTTTGATCACCTTCTTCCTCATTCTCTCTGTAGTCTAGCTATAGTTGGTTCTCTCATCCCTGCCTCCGAACGCACTCACTGTAGCAGCGTAGTGTCGCTCATGTAGTGTAGCTGCACACTGTAGTGTGGGCGCTTTGGCAGCATGAGGCAGAATGATTATTCTGCTGGGTCTGGCTGATCTTTCATAGTGTTGACTGGCCTTGGCCGAAGTCTCTTGACAAAGAAAGGCGTTTAAGGTCTCAGTCTACCGCTGAAAATTTCCCCTGCCCACCGTAACTGATGGCAGGTCTGGCAGATTGATGCCGATTCTGGCCAGAGGGCCCTTGGGTCTGGCCACAGCGGCCAGCCACTGTAGCTAACCATTTATGCCCGGCCTGCAGGTTAGTTACACAAGCTGGGACCTGCACGCAGCCCCGATCGGCTGCAAGCAGTGCCTACTGGGTCTGCAGGTGGGGTCCATTCCAACACAAGAGAGAGGAGGCCGCCAGCCAGAACACATTCGGGCAGGAGGCTGCATGAGATGTGGTGAGACCAGACATATAAAGAAGCACTGTCCTAAAAAGAGTCTGCAATGCCGAGCAAGCCAGCATGAGCAGCCCCTTCTGCCAAGTTTGTAGAGGTAGGTTAAGTAGTTCCGATCGGGCAAGACACTCCCTCTGCCAAGTTTGTAGAGGTAGGTGAAGTAGTTCCGATTGGGAAAGACACTCCCTGCTACCTCTACTCATGCTAATCTCTACCATCACTCTCACTGTACACGTGTTACTGGCCCAATGTTGCTTGAAGTCTCTGCTCATACAGGCTATCTCTCCCAAGTCCCCACTTCCTTCTTCCTTGACCTCCGCACTTTGTCGCTCAGCTTCCCTGTGGACAGCTATGGCTGGTGCTGACTACAGACTCCTCAGCTGCTCTCCTCTTTGGGCACTCCTCTG